GCGAACATCTGCTTTCATCCGCGAACATCTCATTTTATCCGCGAACATCTGCAATCATCCGCGAACATCTGCTTTCATTCGCGAACACCTGCTTTTATCCGCAAACATCTCATTTTATCCGCGAACATCTGGTTTTATCCGCAAACATCTGCTTTCATCCGCAAACATTTGCTTTTATCCGCAAACATCTCATTTTATCCGCGAACATCTGCTTTCATAGTATGAAATTCATGCGGTTTCACCCGCAAACTTGCTTTTATCTGCAAACATCTGATTTTATCCGCAAACATCTGCTTTTATCGGCAAACATCTGCTTTTATCCGCAAACATCGGATTTTATACGCAAACATCTGCTTTTATCCGCAAACATCTGCTTTTATCCGCAAACATCTGATTTTATTCGCAAACATCTGATTTTAATCGCAAACATCTGATTGTATCCGCAAACCTCTGCTTTCATCCGCGTTCGTTTTGCCTGCATTTCCTTTGTCCATTTCGGTCCTGTTTCGTACGCAAACGTCTGGTTTCATTCGCGCTTTTTGTTTTCCTTTTTCTCGTGTATACTTTAGTTTAGTTTACCTGCTTTGTCAAATTTTACTGAGCTTTAACTAACTGGTTGTTAGCCGTTCACGGCACACAACTTTATAATTCTAAAAGGAATTAAACTGCGCACCACTCAATGTGTCGCGACCAAAAAGTTCGTCCTTTTTCAAAACGGCATAACTTTTTTGTTTCTTGAACGATTTTATTTTGGTTTGTGATGTCTGCTAACCCCATCCTCTGGCAATTCATGCTATAGATATTAAGCCCACGTTTTTTCAAGTAAATTTCCTACAGGATGATATGTAATACGGTGAAAAATTTCAATAACTTCATACAAGCCCCGTTTAAAAAAAGAAATATTTTTTCTCGTTTTTACTTTGAAATAATGAAGAATTATGTCTTACCTTGAAAAGATTTTTAAATTTTTCGAATTGGAATCTTAGCAACGAAAATCTGATTTTTTTTTTACAAAAGAGTACAGTTAAGGCTTTTTGGTAGGCAATATACCCACTAAGCAAAATACTGTTGGGCGAACGTTGCAGCGATGTTAACAGTAACGCTGTAACGTTAACTGGGGGGTAACATTAACGTCACTTAAACATTACAACAACGGTTAATGTCCGCCTCATGAACGTTTAAATGTTACATTGCAACGTCAACGTTGAAACAACGTTAAACCGTGCCGTACAGCCTGTACGGTACAGGTGCTATTAACTGATGCGTTAGCGTAACGTTAAAGTTAAACGTTAATTTACTGTTTTTAAATGAACGTTAATAAAACGTTGAAATTAATTGTTTTATTAACGCAGCTCTGGATGCCAATTCTTGGCGGGAAAGACAAACAAAGATATAGATTTAAAAAGAACTTGTTATTTTTACTTCTTTCGACATTATTTGTAAAAAATCTTCTTCTTTTATAATTTTTTCAAAACCCGTTGATGGCCTTGACGAAACCACTCCATAGCAGATTCTTCCGGATAGCTAGTTTCAACACCACCTGCAAAAAAAAAAGAAATTTAGCTTAAGCTGACAAAAACAATAATTTTAGATCCATGACTCTAAAATAATTGTTCTTGCGGACATATTGACATTTTTAATTTTAGTTTAGATTTGTTTATTTCTGTTAACTTAAATATTTCTGAATTAATACTTTAACAAAGCTATTGAGGCAAAAGGCGCCACGAGGTATATACCTAACAGAAATAAACAAATCTCTCGTATATATACAAATATACAAGTTGTATAATACAACTGAACAGCTGCCACCTGTCGCCCTCGACATCAGCGATTTTGACCAAACTTGGAACATTCCAAGTTTGGTCAAAATCGCTGATGTCGAGGGCGAAAGGTGGCAGCTGCCACCAACCTAGGTTTGGCGCATTTACATATATTTACGAGGTTGCTCCTGACAAACCTAACCTAGGATAGTAAATCTTTTTGAAAATAGTGCCTTTTTAGTCCAATAAAATTGTCCCGGATTTTCACTGTCAGGCGTTCGTAACAATTGACAGAAGTATAGATGCGTTTAATCACAATCTTAATTTTGATAATAAACGTCGGACGCAGTGAAATAAAAATAATGCCAATATTGGTATAAAAACACCAACACGCCTGCATTAAGTTACATTACATTAAATGCTGGCTACATCCACCTTATTAAACAATTCAATTAAATTTAACTAAATATAATATATATTAGCTTAAATATAATATATATTAACTTAAATATATTAATATATATTAGCTTATACCTATTATAGGTACACACCTGCTGTTGAATGACTTTGTTGTTGTTGCACTTGTTTTTGTCCTTGCCCTTGCCCATGCCTTTGTTGCTTTTGGATAAAAAATGTATGTTAATTTTGGCTTAAACTAACTCCTTCCTGGTAACGATAATAAGCTGAGATCTAAAACTAAACATAGCAATTTCAGACTTGATGCAAGATAAAACAAATTAAGTAAAGGTGCTTTGCATAGTAGGTACCACTGATAAGAAAATATTACCCAAAATAATAAGGTTAATAATTATCTTTGAATGAACCTTATAAATAAAGAATATAAAGATATATAATATAAAGATAATTATTAACACTAACATTTATGTTAAAGCAAATTAATTGAGATTGAGACGCCATCGCCATTTTGTTATGCTATTTACTGCACGAGCCGGCAAACCACAGAGGCAAAGTGTTTACAATAGTTTTTAATATATACATATTTAGGCACTTACCTACCAAAATTTCCACAACTAGATTTGAAACGTAAAAACCAATAACACTGATTGCACTTCCCATTAATTATTTTAGTAAAAATTGCACTGCATCTATTATGCACGCTAACGATAGACTGCGCTTTGAGGTTATGTTCTGTCAGTGACAGACTGTCACAGAACTTCTGTGTTGTTATCTTAACGTAGTCATATGAAACGTTCACGTACTTATAACATTTAACGTTGCCTTAATGGCACAAGATCTAACGTTGTAATTAATTCGTTCTCCTAACGCAGCAATGGATAACATTGCTGTACCACTACACTATTAACAGTTACTCAACGTTTCCGAAAAAACGTTATATTATCAACGTTGACACAACACACTGGCAATGTGTTCGAAAACACCATTAATTTACTGAATTGTATGAACGTCAGTATAACAATACAAAGTAACGTTCATTTTGATACTCTCTGCTAACGTTGACCAACGTTATTTAAACGTTTCTTGCTTAGTGGGTATACACTCAGTCTTTTTAAGAACAAGAAAATAAGATGGTGAAAGATTGTTCCTTGAATAATTCCGAACAAGCGACAAACAACAAACTTCCATTATTTTCAAAGGGGCCTAAGTAAAGACCACTTTTTCAAAATGACATTTTGGTAAAAATTTGCGAAAACTAAACCTGAACCGATATTTACGTTCGTGACATGTTTTCTTTATAATTTTGACCTCCTGATTGTGATTCAGTTGTCAAGTTTCAGATAAAACCAAAATCACCAAGAATAAAAATTCGAAAACAATTCCCGGCTGTTAAATGTCTTAATAAAATCCGAAAAAAATCATATCGTCGTTGTCAAGATTCCAATTCCAAAAACTTGAAAAAGGTTTCAAGGTAACACATAATACTAAAACTAGAAAAAAATTATTTTTTTACAAACGGGGCTTGGATGAAATTATTGAAATTTTTCACCGTTTAACATATCACCCTGTAGGAAATTTACTTGGCGAACCGTGAGCTTCATATATATAGATATCTATAGCATATAGATATCTATAGCATATGCAATTAATTGCCAGAGGATGAGGCTAGCAGACATCACAGACCAAAATAAAATCTTTCAAGAAAAAAGTTATGTCGTTTTGAAAAAGAACGAACTTTTTGGTCGCGGCACATTGAGTGGTGCGCAGTTTATTTGAATAAAACCAACCTGTAAAGGAAATGAGTTTATTCAACACGACATTTTCCCAATAGGAAAATAATTTAATTGTACCCGGACAACATTCGTGATATTCATACGAACATCATGTCGTGATTTTCACAAATTTTATTCATACTGATATCATATGTATATCGTATATACGGACGTCACCGCGTGATAAATGAAAATCTTACGAACGTCACGTCGTGATTTTCACAAATTTTATTCATACGGACATCATCCGGATGTCACTGCGTGAGAAACGAAAATCATGTCGTGATTTTTTATGCCATCGCTGTTTGCGATACAATTTTCTAATATAAGTAACTTTAAAATTTCATTTCTTTTTTAGGTTTTCTTGTAATTATTTGATTATGATTATTTTGACATCCAAATGACGAATTTTTTATTGGTCCAAACGCGTTTTTTACTTACTAGGCGGTAAACATGTTTTACCTGATTTGTCTAAATTATTTTTACCTACAGCCTAGGCAATGGTTGACAATAATTAAGTTTACATTATAGCTTGAAGATAAAGGCAATATCATTGAGTAATAACAATAACTTCACTCAACGGTAGCATTATTAAATTAAATGTACCTACAAGTGCCTGAGAATATAAATTATTAGATTTTACAAGCTCAACGTGGTCAACAGTAACATTTTAAGGTTCATTTTACGCCAAATTTTTAGTTAAAATTCAAAATTTTACTTAAAATTGGCGTAAAATAACCCCAAGATATCCCAGTTTGAATTCAAATTTCCCACCAACTATTTTTTGACGCACGCGCGTTGACATGTTGGTAAATTTGGGGATTTTAGGTGCTGTCATCTTGTGCAGTGGTTATTGAAAATTGATGATTCCAAAGCACTATTTACTTTTTTTATGTAGATAAACACGCCAGATAAAATAAACATGGTAAGTAAATCTTACACTAACTCAATTTACGTTTACCTTGATTAAATTATTTTAACCGCTATTTCCATAAACTTAACCTCTTTTAGCAATGATAAGTAAAATCGCTAAGATTTTGTTTGTATTTTAGGACGTGTTTTTAATGGTCAGAAGAAAAAAATTAACTATCTTCACAGATGCCAAGGATACAACCACTGTATTAGAACTAAAGAAAATAATTGAAGGTAAACATTCTAGCTTTTGACATACCTACAAGGTAACTAATTTGTCTTGTTTAGGAATACTAAAAGTGCCCCCTCAAAATCAACAACTTTACAACAAGGATAACACTATTATGGAAGATGGTCGTATGTTACAAGATTATGGATTGACTTCAAGTATTGCTAAAGCTCAAAGCCCCGCTACAGTTGGATTGGCTGTCAAGTAAGCACCTACATTTTATAACAGAATCTTGTTTGAAAAAATATCTTTGTTTTATTAAAGACAACAAGTTAGGTTTTATATTTTGTTTAAAACTAAAATATGATATATTGTTTACTATGATATAACAGAGTAGTTATTTTACTAACATCATGTTTTGGATTGAATTAATTAAATGTTTTAAGTACCATACTAATTCCAAAACCTTGAAAGTCAATTTAAAAGAACTGAAACATAGGTACAAAATTTCCCATATGTTACCTACTTAGGTAACAAGCTTTAAATAGGTATATTATAGAAATCAGTCTGCTTAGCAAAGAAGTGCTCCTAACTCTTGATTTCGTCCAAGTGGAATTATAGGGACTGGATATAAGCTGACAATAAAGCAAAAGCAGCTTAACTTTAAAACAATTTAACAAGTAATTTTTAAGATTATTAATAAACTATATTTTTTTTTAACGTATAGGAAATTTTAATTATGAATAACCCTGGGTTATATTATATTGGCTGGTTGAATTATAGTTTTAGCAAGGTTTTTTATGTTTTTATAGAAATGTATTAAAAATTTAGTAGATATTTTATACGTAATAACTATGAAATACGAGTTAAATTATATATTTATTTGGTTGTAAATAAACCTAAAACCCAGGGTTATTTATGACTAAAAAGTTACAGAATAGACCTTATAAACCTATATAGAAAGACTTGTTTGTACTCAGTTTAAAAAGTCAAATAATCATACCTACACTCCCTATTAAAAATGCCATATAGAAACACAAAATAAAAATCTATATGGTTCTATATGGTTCAATATAGGAATTTGAAACAGGCATTGCACTATTGAACCAGATAGAATTCCATACCTGGAAAACCATATAGAAAAGTGATTTCTATATGGATTGCCATATAGGTTCATATTGCTCTATCTGGCCCAATATGGTTTGGGTGTGAAAAAAATTATTAACATATAGATCCATATTTAACCATATAGGGGAATCTATATGGTTTAATATGCAATTTTCGTTTAATTATATATATATTCAGTGTTGTAACAGTTACAATATTTTCAGTATCTAGCTACAGTTACAGTTACTTACCAAAATTTGTAACTAGATACAGATACAGATACATATTTTATTGCAGTAACTAGTTACAAATACAGTTACCTTCAAAAAGTATATATAAGTATATATCTAGATACTTTAAGATACATACAAATTATTTTTTGCTTTAAAAAATTTAAAATACCTAGAAATAAAAGGAAATTTTAAAGTGACAACAAAAATATACATGTTTATTATTTTTATTTTTTTTATAATATTTTATTTAAAATAACTTATTTTTTATAATATTTTTTTTTTAATAAATAATAGTCGCAGTTTAATTAAAAATGTATCTTTGTATCTTATGTGTGTTATAACACACCTAGTTACTTAGAATTTGTAACTAGTTACAGTTATAGTACTAGATTGGGATAAGTAACTAGTTACACAAACAGATACATAAAAAGTATCTAGATACTGTATCTAGTTACTTGTAACTAGATACGTTACAACACTGTATATATTTTAAAATGGAATTCCATATTCAACCATATAGGGAAACCTATATGGAAAGACACATAAAACAGAAACCAGATAAATCCATATAAAAATCCCTAAGTTGTACATTTTAAAATGAAATTCCATATTAAACCATATAGATTCCAAAGTGTAAACCAGGTCATTCCATATAGGACATATAGGTAGAACCATATAAATCCATATTAGTTTCCTTATCTGGATCAATATGGGTTCTATAGGGCATTTTTAATAGGGCTGCCATAAAATTATGTAAATACATTTAAATATCATGGGAAACGTTTTATCTATCGGATTTATGTTGAAATAAGTGTAGGTAACTGTTATTACAGGTCACTGTAAAATAAATTCATGCACATAACATAACATAATTATAATTTGTAACATCAGCATTATCTACCTATAATAAAATGTAACAAAATTATGAACTCCCAATGTAAGTTCAGCTTAAGACAAATATGGATGAGTTTGTATTTTAATTTAAAATATTTAAGTCAAAAAAGTTATTCAAATTATTACTATTACTAATTATTTAAAAACGTTTATTAATTCAAAAAAATAATCATTAGGTACTTGATTCCAGTAATAATTACTGAGTAATTCCAGTTGATTAAACCCTTATTTTATTAATCAACTTATAGTTATTTATGTGACTTTTTGTGCCAAGCTCAACGTTTGAAGGCCGACGCGTAGTCTACTTAATTCAATTTGTATATTAATTCCACAATTATTTGTTATGGTCACCAACAACAAAAACTAGAAGCAAATAATGTTTTTGAAATGATACCTACATAAAACGTACAATTGGATAGCGTTTATCGTAAAGGAACCAAGCGCCAAAAACTTTTTCTGGGGTAAACAAAATTATTTACAAAATAACTCATTTTTAATGCAGCTCAAAAAATTAATAATGATTTGGGAACCTTCATAATTCTTTTTGAGCATTATTAAATACCTATGAGTTATTTTACAAATAATTTTACTAAGCCCTGAAAAAGTTTCTGGCGCTTGGTTCCTGTTTGATAAGCGTTATCCAATTATAATCCGTGATTATAATAATTATTTAAAGTAGAAAATAAGTAGTGACTAAATGCACGTGCACGGTTGATCAACGTTTGGTATTTAAACTTGGTAACCTGCGCACAACCCTAATTTTGCTTTTTCCGTCATCTTACACGTTCGACGTTAAGCCTCGTAAAGACTTGAGCATTAAGCCGAACAACAAGCCGAACAACGAACCGAACGGCAAACAGAACACTAATTTGGACGGGGCTGCGAACGCGTTTGCGAACATGTTCGCGAATCCTGACCGTTCGGCGAACGGTTCGTCCCGTTCCCATCACTTGTCGGTTTTTCCTTCGACATCAAAGGAAATGCTCGCGAATGCGTTCGGAGGTTTGGACGGGTCAAAACAAAACGGCGAACAAACCAGTGAATTGTTCTCATTTAAGTGTTTATTTGTCTCCTCCTTTAAGTAAGTTTGTTTATTTTAATATAATTAAAATTCAACACAAGTAAATGGAGTGGACAGAAGAAAAATCTCTGGATCTAATTGATATTTATCAAAAAAAAAGAGTTGTGGAAACCAAAACACCCACACCATTTTTTCTTTTGATTTAATAATGAATAATGAATAAATATATAAGCTGCTGCTGCTACACTTTTTTCCATCTTTAGTAAAACTTTAACTGAGATTTACTACGAGCAATTATGGGAACAGCACGAACGTTCCGTTTGTTGTTCGGATCGTCGAAATCAAAAAAGGCCATTTGCCGTTCTGTTTGCCGTTCGGTTCGTTGTTCTGCTTGTTGTTCGGCTCAATGTTTAGGTCTGTACGAAGCTTTAAGCTCCTGAATATATTCTTGCTCTGTACATAAATGAAGCTAAAATGTCACCATGTCAATAAAACCTAACCTAAAAATGATGTTAATTAAATGCTTAATAAAAATAGGTTGTAAAACCCGGCTTAGTAGGTATATTGTTTACGGAGCGTGGAATCATATCAATTACTCCCGATGATGAAAGTTTCCGAGCGAGCCGATAGGCAAGTGAAGGAATTCATTGAGGGAGTGATTGCTATTCCACGCAAGGTAAACACTATACTTTTTGTCGAGTGGTGCTAATTATTAATTAAGTTTTAGAAAATTAAAAAAAGTAAAGTTTAATTAATAACAATCAAAGTCAATCACACTGTTGCGTCGTCATAGTAGCGGGAGGGAATGGAACATTTTAAATAGTAACCACTGTTTACAAAGCTTCTAAAATTTAATTATAATAATTTAAAATTTTTCCTGCAATAAATATTTATTTAAATATATTCTTCTATTATTAGGCTATATATTAAAAAAAAAAAATCGCAAGAAATATTTTATAAAAGTAGAGATAATTTCAATAATTGACAGGGGTGGACGGGACAAGATAAATCTTTCCTGCAATAAATATTTATTTATCACAAAATATTCATTGTTAAACCATTTTGTAAGAATCAAACATGAGAGAAATTTTGTATTTTTTGCTTTACGGCCATTTCAAGCGGATGGACGGGACAAATTACAAAACTGTTTTTATAAAAAAAATTGTAGGTAACTTATTATATATTATTTTTGCATCAAAATTGTCAAATATATTCTTCTATTATTAGGCTATATATTAAATAAAAAAAATCGCAAGAAATATTTTATAAAAGTAGAGATAATTTCAATAATTGACAGGGGTGGACGGGACAAGATAAATCTTTTTTTTGTCCCGTCCACACCTTTCAATTATTAAAATTATATCTACTTTCATAAAATATTTCTGGCGTTTTTTTTTATTTAATGTATAACCTAATAAAAGAAGAATATTTTTAACAATTTTGATGCCAAAATATTATATAATAAATAATCTACAATTTTTTTTATAAAAACAGTTTTGTAATTCGTGCGTTTCGCGCGCTTGAAATGGCCGTTTAGTCTAAAAATCCTAGGTACCTATCTTAGTAGTTACAGGGTTGGTTGAATTCGCCCAAGTGGACATAACTGGACGATTTTGTCCAATTATGTCCGTCCGGACAAAATCAATTGTTCTGGACAAAATTGGACAAAATCAAATAAAATTCAAAAAACCTTATTATAATTATATTAGGGTGTTAAAAACAACTTAAACAACAATAAAACATTTTGGTGCTTGACTAGCCATTGTTATCCGATTTAAATTTAACATTAGCCACTAAATAAATCAAAAATATAAAATAAAATACATTCTTTTAAACAAAATCCTACATGAAGTTTAAAAATCAGAGACCCAAGACTACAGCACAAGCGAAAGGCAGATTTTCTCTCTGTCTCGCAAATTGAAACCTGTCTACATTTTTGTTTTTTAATACCTTGATTCTTGTATTACAACAAAATAAATAAACAATATATGCATATATTCTGTAGTAAAATACATTCGTATTTTTGTGATACTTTACCTACATATAATAAGTAGTAGGTCACCTACTGTATACCTATTATACTATAATTATAATAGTACTATTGTAATAGTATAAAATTTGATTTTGTCCAATATTGTCCGTTTTTGTCCAATTTTAACCACGTCATGGACGAAATCAAAAGAAGTGGACAAAATCACAACCCTGAGTAGTTACACGGAAAAAAATAATCGGTAGAGGCTACCGATTGGCAATCGGTAGCAGCTACCGATTGCCAATCGGTAGACTCTACCGAAAAAATCGGTAGACTCTACCGAAAAAATGGGTAGTCTCTACCGAAAAAAAATCGGTTCCCTCAACCGATTTTTATCGGTAGTAGCTACCGATTATTTTTCGGTAGAGTCTACCGATTTTTTTGGTAGAGTCTACCGATTTTTTCGGTAGCCGTAACCGAGAAAATGCGCATCGATGCGCTGTTAGAAAATTTTTAAAAAAATATTAATACTTAAAATAGTCAGTGTAAATAATTGTTTATATTTTCTCATGTTCTCGATTAAAACATTGTATTTTGATCAACACTATCATGCTTATTGCGTTGAAATTGATTATAAATCAAGTATGACAAAGAATAAGAGCAAATTACCAAATTTAGAACCTTGTTTATTCTTACAAAAAAAAATCTCTACTTTGTAGCCACCAGACATTTAATTTAATATTTATTTAGAATTGTAAAAAATTTAATAAAAATTACTCCTTATTTTTAATATTTTTGTATTTTAAATTTATTTATACCTCAAAAAAAATATATACTATTTTCTATTTAATAAAAAGCGAGTATTTAACTTCTCGCTAAAAAATACAAAAATTTTCAAAAATTGGTAATCGATTTTTTCGGTAGCCTGCACCGAAAAAATCGGTAGACTCTACCGAAAATAATCGGTAGCTGCTACCGATAAAAATCGGTTGAGGGAACCGATTTTTTTTCGGTAGAGACTACCGATTTTATCAGTAGAGTCTACCGATTTTTTCGGTAGAGTCTACCGATTGGCAATCGGTAGCTGCTACCGATTGCCAATCGGTAGCCTCTACCGATTATTTTTTTCCGTGTAAAATTAATCTAGAAAAAAATATTAATTTAAACAATTTTCTTATTAAAATAGCATGCATTGAAACATTGTTTTTAAGAAAAAATTACTTCCCACTTCTTAAATAACTTCCCCTTCAAAATTGTCTCAAAGTCGTTATTATTGAAAAAATGTATTTTAATTTTAAAAGAATTTATATTCTCCACAAAATGGTCCTTACGACCAAAACATAATATTTAACAGTTTAAAAAATATGAGCCTAATTAAAACATTTTTAATCAAGCATTAATTAAAAGAAAATACATACAATAAGCAACAGTGGCTTTTGGGCATTTTAGTCACGGGCTGAAGTTAACTTTATTATAAATTGGAAAAAAGTGAGGTTAAATCCGTTGACAGTTGACAGATGTCAAATGTTTAAATTCTTCTTTGTATTCGTCGTCGATAAAGTATAGTATGCAATTCGCTCGGAAGCTTCGCTCGTGTCTAATAAAACTAAAACCAAAATGGCGTTTATAAAACTTGATACACAATATAGGTACTATTTAAACTTACAAAATATTTTCAAATGCTCTTATCAAAAAGTCCCAACTTAATATTTAAATACAAGTAATTAAGGTGATCTATCTGTCAATTTAACGCTTATTTTGCCTTATTTTCAAAATAATAAAATACAAGTAAATTTTGTTTTAAATTTAGACCTTAATACATAAAAAATACATATATTTTATTACTTTCAGAAAATTATACGATATTAGCGTTAAACTGACATATATAACCTTAATTGTTTATATTTAAATGTCAAAGTGGTTCAATAGTTCAAATACTCAAGTCGCATCTTTTTATAATTTTTATAATAATAATTTATTTGACTAATATGTTTTATTCTGTGTTTTTTAGAGATGATAATGGTGCATTTGAACCCCTAGAATTGACACAATACTCAGCCCCTCCAGATTTGCCAGACGTGATGAAATCGCAAGAAAGCAATGGCCAAGAACAACAATCTTGAATTAATCCTAGTAAGTTTGCATTCACATCAAATTAATTTGATGCTCAGCTGCAACCAAAAAAAATGTTTTAATTTTGCAAGAATAAATTGACTTTTATTTTTAATATTTATACCCACTACACAAAACTGTTATTTATGTGTTTCTTTAAATACGCCATTTTCACTGTACTTTGAAGTAAACTTATTTAAAATGTTCACATGATCTTGATATTACAATATATTTAAACTATACTGAATATAAATACAACGAGTTTTTTACTTATATGTTGACCCCCTTTTAAGGATTTTAAATACGGAAATAACCTATAAAACTTGTAGACCAATATTTATATAGTTTTTTTTAGAAACAGGCCTTTCACAACTGCAATTATATAATAATTTTTTTTAATACAAAATCTTTCTATGTATGTTTTTTATTTAAATAGCTGCAAGGTCGGTTTATTTGGAGAAACGTTATATTAGGCACTTAAAAAATGGAAAAATCTGCGATTCTTAAATAATTTAAAAATCTGAAAATCTGTCAAAACTAAAAATCTTTATAACCTTGTTATTCCTGTGAATTTTGAAAATAGTAAAGGATGTAAACATTTATCTACAATTTCATTCACTTTGTCACCTTCTAGATTTTGAGTTACCACTACCATATTTTGTTTTTTACTGGGTTAGATAGAAAAAAAAATAAAAAATACAACGATATATCAAACTTACTACATAAGTTCTAGGCCATTATAAAAAGAATAGATGGTGTTGGTAACTTAAACTATAGTATCAAAGAAATTGGATGAAAATTACATTAATGTAATTTTCATTACTTATTACATGTAAAACTTTGTTTTCTTTAAATTTCACAGGAATAACGTAGTTTTTGTTTTGAGAACCACTGTTTTTTCTAATTTTTTAAATTTTATCTTAATAGGCTTGTAAATACGCAACTTTTCTCCTATATAATCGACCTTTTAGTTTTTTAAATAAGAAAATATATAATAGAAATGTAAATAAGGGCCTTGGCAGGGTGTCAAAATATGAATAAGAATCTGGTATTGTAAAAGTTTGTATAGGCTTAAGCTTATATACATTTTTTGGTAAGCTAGTTTTGTCTGAAATTAGCAAAAGTTATGTCATAAAATTATAGGCAGCAGATACTCACATTTAAGTAAAATTTGTATGATGCTTTTGTAAAATATAGTTAAATATTGAAATCAAATTATTTTAATTTAGTAAATATTTTATAAATGTGATAGCAGTTTCATTTTTGACTATATTTAAAAGAATATCAATCAAATGTTTAACTTATTGTATAAATTTCATATTCCCATTTTGTTGCCTTCATTGCGTACTAAGTTAGTGTCTAACCTCATTTAAGGCTATCTTTTGTGTAAATCCTAAATAAGTATCCTAAATCTTAATCTACTTAACTTCAATTATTTCATAATTGTATAATAATGATTTTAGGATCAACCTCACTAAAATTTTATAACATAAAATTTTAATTCATGGTATTTATATTTAATAAAATAGACAAAAATATTTATCTTTGCGTTTTCTTTAATTATGTTTTTCTTATATGGACAAAATCTAAAATACATTTGATTAAGGTGGTAATGAACCTTAATTTATTAAATGAGATTTTGTCAAATTTTATACTATTCACAGAATAATAGATGCATGAGATAAATTAGTATCATACAGGACCAGTATAACACAGGTAATAAAGGTAAAAGTTTATTGAGTATCACAAATATTGTTTTAATGTATATTTTGACAGTTTGTGTCAAAACTGTCTGAACTTATGTAATGTGTGTATGAATATGTCCAGGGCCGAGTCTAGGGTATCTGCCGCCCGGGTGCAAGAATTAAATTTGCCGCCCCCATTAATGTAAAAAATTAGGTTGTCGGTAGGGAAGGAGTTCATAATTTATCATTCTCAATAAACATATAACAAATTTTATAGTAAAATAACAAAGTATTTATTAACAAATACATAAAAGAATAAAATAAAAATACATTCAGGAAAAAAAACAAAAATAATTAAACTAAACTAAAAAACTAAAATCTACTTTTCTCGCTTTTTAATAGCAAATTCCCTAATCAAGTCGCCTACATCCAAGTTGTTAGAAATATCTTCTTCAATACTTATAATTGCTAAATTTGAAAGCCTGAATTGATTCATATTGGATCTTAAATAGGTCTTAATTAGTTTTAATTTCGAAAATGACCGCTCTCCATGGGCAACAGTAACTGGCATAGTCAAAAATATTCTTAAAGCTACAAATAAATTCGGAAAGATGCCTTTTAAATCATTAACTAGTTTTTAACTTAAACGCATTAAAAGGCAAAAGAAACTACTATGTTTGCATCCTATTAATTATTATCCTATTTGCCTTAGGGGCCGTTCAAGTATTACGTAAGCACTATAGGGGGGTGGGGGGGTCTTTGCTTTGCTTATTTTTGATGACATGGGGGGTGGGGGGGTCTAGATGGTGATTACGTCAGCAGTAGTTATTTACTTTTTTACACATATGGCAACCCACACATTGTCTATGCTTGAAAATAAAAAGACCAATGTTTACGTAAGCATTGGAGGGGGGGTAAGAGCTTTGATTACTTTTGCTGACAAGGGGGAGGGGGGGGTTAATAATTGTAGTAAATCTGCTTACGTAATACTTGAACGGCCCCTTACGTTAATTGAAAAACTAAAAATTGCTGAAATACGCAGCCGTCAAATCGGAAGAAATTATGCTTTAACTTAACAGTTTAGCTTGTAAACAATATCACGTGGTACACAGCGCGCGATTTGATTGGTTTCCCGTAAGCCCACTTCCGTAAAACATGAAACTTGACGAACTCGAAGCGGACGGAGGGAAAGCAAAGCGGGTGGGCGGCAATCTATAAACCGGGCTTTAAGAAAATTGTCATCATCATTTTTTGTGGCTATCGCGCGTTCGGTTATGTCTTTTTTATCATTGCCGCCTGACAGCACAATTTTGGCATTGTTTTTATGTGTATGATTCCTTGAAACGCCAACATCAATAAAACGCAAGTGATTTTTAGAAAGTTTTTTGCATATTGCAAGGTGACTTTTTTATTCTTGATAATATGATACAATTTTTTGATGATATTTTGCCGCCCTGTGTTAGTGCCGCCCGGGTGCCATGCACCCCTTGCACCCCCGGCACGGCTCGGCCCTGAATATGTCAATCATGTTAATCTCAGCTGCCTTAGTTGTAATAGGTCAATTGACCATTAGGGCGGAGCGATAAAAAAACTATTTTGAAATTTTGTATCCCTGGGTGTGGATTAGTTGTCTATTTAGGTTATATTTAACTAAAAAAAAATAGCATTGTGGGATGAAATCTTGAGGTTCCTTTTTGAATGTAAAATTTAATAAAAACACAACTTTTTAAACTTTTAAAAATTAACTTTCAATTTTGTGTATCCCTGGGTGCCCAATGGGTACATATTTACACAAATTTAGAACATATTGTATATAAAAAGAGGACCGAATAGATGCCATCGATATTATCGAGTCTGATATATCACAATTGTTAACCATGGATGCATCAACGTCTTCCAAAAAAAGACTGGTTTTATCTAATGTGGCTGAAGCATGTGACAGAAGTGGACTCTTAGATATAAATGGTAAACTCTGTACCAGAGTTGGGAGTACTGAGTTTTTTTTTTAATGGATTATGCTATCATTACTAATTATTACTTGATTTTATAATTGTAATGAGAGAAAAATATTGAGTACTGTTTATTTTTACTTTACCAATTTGATAATTACATTTTTTTTTTTATTTTTTTAATCAGAGAAAATATCAAGTACTTTTTATTTTAACTTAAAATGTTTACTCATTCTAAATATTTTTTTATTTTATAATTAAAAAATAATAAAGAACAGAATACATTATATTTTTTTGTTTTGATTTGATTAGAATGGTGAATAAGGATACTTCCGTGCTTGTTTATGTTTTTATTGCGACTAGTTTCGATCTACCTATATTATAATAGATCTATAGATCATCTTCAGGCAAACTACAAAAATATGTAAAATTATTATAAGGTTATGTGAAAATGATAATGATAAAATTAATAGTTTAAAGTAACAATACAATGGTTGATAACAAATATTAAATACTTACATGTCAATAATTAAAATATTTGTAAAAAGGTTTATCAATTATATTAAATATATGCATAAATACAATACAATATACAATGACTTGAAGGACGATGTATTCTTGGTAGGTACTTGTATTTTCATTTATATTTTAAGTACCTACAATCAATTTTTTACTTTGACTTTAAACTTTTTGCATTACGAAGTACTAAAAAATATTATTTATTCAAATTAATAAGTACAATTATTTTTGTATTTTTACTTTATATCAATTTAGAGTAAAAGTAAATTGATAATTTTTATTTTCTCCATTCTCAAGTAACTTAAATATTCTAATGGCAATATTTTTTAAGTACAAATCTCGCAACTCTGCTATGTACTAACCCAGCTAGCACAGAAACATCCCAACAATGTACAGCGATGTAAAATTGGGTACATTAAACCTCCCGTGCAATGTACTGTTGATATCGCATGTCTATTGAGGCAACCTCCGAATTTCCGCAACATGTTTACATTGGACAATGTTTTCGAGATGTTACTTTGTTACGTACTGAAAACGTTAGTTTGAAACATCAATTAAAGTAACTTTAAAACATGCATGCTATGTTTAGATGTAATGTTCCATGAATGTAACTTATTGATATAAAAAGGCTATAGCAAAAGATACAGGCATCCGGCAAATCATTTGATGTTTTTATACTTCTTTTTTTAGTATTTGTTTTATAAAATATAGAAAAACTTTAATTTTTAGATAAGTTTTGTTACATTATAGACAAATTTGTTTATAATGTAACAAAACATATCTAAAAATTTAAGTTTTTCTACATTTTATAAAACAAATACTAAAAAAAGAAGTATAAAAACATCAAACCCAGCAAAC